CCGTCCTTTGTCATTCTCGTATCAGCTGTCATTCGAAGGGGTCAGGAAGGGAGCTCCGCGTCCTTGGTCCTGGGCCTTGCTTGTTCTTCTCTTTATGCCAAAGAGCAAACATTCCTCGTTCATTGCCCTCTGGGAAAATGGAAACCTCCCTCTTCAAGTGGGAGAAATATTGGGCGGAAACAAGGAAACAGCCCTACCTGGGGTCGGGCATCGCATCTTGGCCAGCTTGGACCACAGTGCTCTGGGGGAGGGAGAGGTAGCAGGGAATCCTGCACCCACCTTGCTTGAACCTGGGCTTTGGGAACAGACAACCACACTCTGAGCAGACATAGCTCAGAGACACTCACCCAAATTTTATCCCTGATATCCAGATGAACAGCAGTAAATTTCCTAGGTTCACCTAGACTGGTAGCTTTCTTACATTGTGAACAAAGACCCATAAATAAGAGAAACAGTTCCCATCGTGACTGAGTGCACACATGCCTACTTAACTGAAATAAAAGCTTAAGGAAAGAAAAAAATGTTTCACGAGAAAAATCGCCTTACAAGTGCTATACTCTGATATTTTCTGTCCATTCTTCTAGTCTTTATTTTAATCTTTAATGCTGACCATCATGTTCCACTAAGTTGACTCATGACTGAGTTGTGGGTTGTGATCCCACAACACACAACTAGTCTAGTTTGAAAAAGTATTGGACTAGACTGGGGTCAACAAACTTCTCGGTAAAAGCCAGGTGAGAAATATTTTCAGCTTTGCAGGCCATATTATCTGCCACAACTCCTCACTTTTGCTGTTGCAGCAGAAAAAAGCAGCCACAGACAATGAGTAAACAAACAAGTGTGCCTGTGTTCCAATACAACTTTCCTTATGTACACTATAATTCAAATTTCATATAATTTTCACGTGTCATGAAATACCGTTCTTCTTTTGATTTTTAAAAAACCATTAAATAATGTAAAAACCATTCTTAGCTTGCGGGCTGTACAAAATCAGGGGGTGGTCCAGATTTGGCCTGTGGGCCATAGTTTGCCAGCCCCCAGCACACATGATGTCCACCAGCGCTTGGGGTGAGTCTGCCAATCCTTCTCTCCAAGGGTTCAGGCATCCATGCAACACCACGCCACAGCCGCCCTTAGTCAGGGTCAAGCCCACGTTGATCTTGTGCCTCTGTGTGAGAATCTGAGCTCTAACATATTCCATGAATGGTCCCCGTTCCCTGAACAGTTTTCTCAGAGAGAGAGTGTGTTTCCTCCGTCACGCGTTTCTCACACTGTCTTGAAACATCTCTTTGCTTGCTTATCTTCTCCGTGAGACTGTGAGCCAGTAGATCCCAGAAGCTGTGGGTCCGGTGGAGGGCAGGAAAGCCTCTGCTCTTTCCGGGCCTTTCCTTGGCTCATGGAGGCAACCTACTCAGGAACTCATTCCCAGCTTCTCCACTCTCGGGCTTCAGCTGACCTCAGCCCCACCAGCTAATCTAAAGCCACAGGGGCCCCAGGCATCCCCCAGATGCCCCAGCACAACAAAAGACTCTTCACTTCCACATACCTGAGTAGGAATGAGAACATTCCTTTTTTTTTTACATTATGGTAAAATGCACATAACATTAAAATTTACCACCTTAACCCTTTTTAAGTGTAGAGTTCACTAGCAATAAGCACACTCACACTGTTGTACAACCAACCAATCTCTAGAACTTTTTTCATCCTGCAGAACCAAAACTCTGGACCTATTAAACAATTCCCCATTCTCCCCGCCCCCCACCGCCACCCACCTCCTGGAAACCACCATTCTGACTCCCGTCTCCCTGGATTGACTACTCTAGGTGTCACATAAGTGGAATCATACAGTATTTGGTCGTTTGTGACTGGCTTATTTCACTTAGCATAATGTCCTCAAGGTTCATCCGTGTCATAGCGCATGTCAGAGTTTCCTTCCTTCTTAAAGTTGAATAAGAGAACACTTGATTTTAAAACATGGGTCTCCAAATTTTCCTAGGAAGTGAGAGCATAGCTGGGCCTTTCCCAGATTTAAGACAAATTTCAAGACGAACTCTCTTCATATTTCCCCCCAGAAATATCGAGGTTGGATGCCACTCCATATCTCAGGTCATTACTCTGTTCTAAGAACACTCCCTGGTCTGATTCACCCTCTCACTCATATTTAGTGTGCTGGCAGGGAGGGGGAGCAGCCTTTATTTGGGGCTGAAATTCCCAGATTGAAATCTCAGCTGCTTCTTCGCCATATTAGCTAAACGTTCTGACCAGAACTTCATCTGTAAAATGGAAACACCCACCTTATATGTGATGGTGTAAAAAAATGAGATGAAAAGCAAATTATCTAACACAAAGCTTAGACCTTAGTACTCAAAACTATAACTATTATTAGCCCAATTAATCATTTCCAGGGTCACAGTCTGGTTCCTAATATCCCAAATGAACCCTGGAGATCCCCCAGGAAAATCCCAGAACCTCATTTTTTTTTTTTTTTTTTTTGCGGTACGCGGGCCTCTCACTGTTGTGGCCTGTCCCGTTGCGGAGCACAGGCTCCGGACGCGCAGGCTCAGCGGCCATGGCTCACCGGCCCAGCCGCTCCGTGACACGTGGGATCTTCCCAGACCGGGGCACAAACCCGTGTCCCCTGCATCGGCAGGCGGACTCTCAACCACTGCACCACCAGGGAAGCCCAGAACCTCTTTTTTGAGATGCCAAGTGAGTTGCTACAAAAAGTACCATAGTCGGAGCCTGGGACTCAGATGTCAAATAGGCCACTGCTTTCCTGTGACCCGGGCAAGCCATCGTCTTTCTATCCCCCAGCCTCCTTCTCTGTGAAGTTTAACAAATAAAGCCTCTAAAATCTTTCTCACAATGAGGCAATGTCTTCAAAAGGGCTCCAAGCTTCTCCTAGGGAGGTCACTGTCAAATGTATACCTGTGGTTACAACAAATGCTAATACTTTGGGAACTAATTCACCCAGTTGGTCCCTGAAGGCTTTGAGTCTTCACTCTATGCCAAGACCCATCCAAGGGGCTGGGAAACAAGGATGAACTAGGGACCGCAGTACCCGTCGACATGCATGGCTGTGCACGTGTGTGGTCCACAGACTGTGACTTATGTAGAACAACGGGTGCCTTATCCAGACCAAACTGATCACCCACCTCAGAGAGGAGGAAGGGGAGAAAGTTAACATCTATTGGGGATCTACTGTGTTCTACCAGGTATTCTACACCCACAATGACATTTAATCCTTCTCATGTGTGAGCACATAGAAAGAAGCACAGTGAGGATATGCAATTAGCCCAAATTCACACATCTGCTATCTCGTAAAGCTGAGATCAAAAACAGGTTTGTCTGCCTCCAAAATCTATAAAGTTTCCACTCTTCCAAGCAGCCATTCTAATGAGAACCAATCCTAGATGTCCATCATAAATCCATCCAGAGATGGATTCACACTGGTCCTATCTAATGGCCTGGCTCTTGTTCCCTTTCTGTCTCCTTTATGGCTCAAGCTAATTAGTGATGTGCTCAGTCCAACATCCAGTGGCCAATTTATGGGCCACTGGGTTCGCAGAGGGAAGGGAGGTAGCGTTCATTGAGTGCTTTCCAAGACTCCGGCCCTGTTCCAGGAACTCCTGGCCACACATTAGCTCTCTTAATCTTCATAATAACCCTGTAAAGTGGGTAATTACCCCACTGGACAGAGGGTCAGAAAGGTTAAGTAACTCCAGACAACCCAGAAAGTGGATGGACAAGGTGGTCCAGCACCGCGGGAAACCTCTGAAGGTGAGACCCTCAGGCAAACCCTCCCATAGCTGAGGGCACCAAGCCTCCCTGCCTCGTCAGCCTCGGAGACCCAGGGAAAAGGAAAGTGGGTCATTTATCATTCCTGCCCCTCCAGCCCCTTGAGGTGGCTCAGATTGGTCACACAAGGCCTGAGCTGCATTCATCCTCCCTAGCCTCCCAAGTGGGCACGACGGAATTATCCAAGAAGGGTAAGTCAGATGGTAAAAGCTGCCCTTCAGAGGGCTCCACATTTCCAGCACTGTACTAGATACTTTGCATCCACGATCTCAATTCTTTTTTTTTTTTTTTTTTTTTTGCGGTGCGCGGGCCTCTCATTGTTGTGGCCTCTCCCGTTGCGGAGCACAGGCTCCGGACGCACAGGCTCAGCAGCCATGGCTCACGGGCTCAGCCGCTCCGCGGCATGTGGGATCTTCCCAGACCGGGGCACGAACCCGCGTCCCCTGCATCGGCAGGCGGGCTCTCAACCACTGCGCCACCAGGGAAGCCCTCAATTCATTTTTATAACAGTAATAGCAAGTCTTTATTTCCACTTTGCACAATTTGTATATTATTTCATTTGATTGCTGCCAACAGACCAGAGCTTATAAAGTGATCCTCCCAAGCTCACCCAGTTGGGAAGTGTAAAGCCAGGATTCAGACCCTGCTCGCCCACCCTATCCAATCTGTCCTCTGCCACAAACATACTGCAGGGGCAGCCTCACCTTCCATCTGACTGATGGGTAAAACTGAGTCCATAAGCAGAGCAGGGCAGTGGTTTCAGACTCGGGGCTAGACAGTCCCAGTCACACTTCTATCTGGCTTTCCTAGAGATGGTAATGGAGCCAAAGAGAGGAGGTGAGCTGGGAGAAAGCCTTGATAAAAGCTAATGTTGAAAAATAAAACTGAGTAATCTATTTAATTGTTCATCACTCCTCCCTTCTGCAATAGCACAGCATTTTAAACAATTCTACTCCTCCCTGAAATGATCCAGTAACAAAATATCTGACTGTGACTGGTCCCCCCTCCCGCCTTCCCGGCTGCTGGATGTTTTCTGTTTATCCCGGTTCTGTGTCTTCGTAATTGTGTTATTCGCATCGCAACGCACGGCGATGGAAGGACTAGAGCCAGCAGCGCCTGCACCCAGGGGATAACGGGACGTCCCTCCAGGAGGGTGCACCGCTCTCCCCTGGACCTCCCAGGCCACAGGGAGCAACACCCACGGCGACCCCCTGGGCTGCACTGCCCCAGACCATCTCCTGAGCACGCCCTTTAGCCAAGGAGCCAAGCGTTTGTGAGGACACCATACGCCTGGGCTCTGCCCCCTTTAGGTTCAACTTGGAATTGTTCTTGGAATAAACAGCCTACCCGCAAATGGCACATTCTGCCAGCGTGTGGTTTAGCAGCTGCCAAGCTCTGTGCTAGGGCTGTGGCCTGGCCAGGGTGCGAGTCCTGCTTGGGGTTAGCCCTCCACGTACCCGCCCCACCCGTCCATCCTCCTTGGAAGCCACTGTGAAGGCATCTCTCAGGCCCACCTTAGGGCCGGGTGTCCTGCACCAGGTGGGTGAACCACTACGGCCCCTGCCCTTCCCTGGCCACCCTCTCCAGACACGCTGTGCCACATCCCCTTCCCAAGGAAGCCGTCCGGAACACAGAAAACATTTCTCCCCGACCCCCTCCTCGCTGCCAAGCCCATAAAAGGGCCGGCGCCGGGCCCTTGTCCTCGGAGGCTGCGCAAACGCTCGGGTTGTGCTGGTCTCTTCTGTGCCTCCCCAGCGCCAAGATAATAAAGTGGGAGAGTTCTCTTCCTTCCAAAGTGCAGACCAATTCGCATTTTTAAAAATTACCATTGGAGAACTACACCTAATTAGCCCCTTTAAAGGAAAGCTTTAAAAAAAAAAAAAAAAGTCATAAATTTCTAACGGGCCACAGCTTGAAGCCACACTTTTAAAGCTAATTGTGTGTTTCTGGTACTAACAGGGGAACTGGTAAGTTAGAAGCGGATTTTATGACCTGGGTGGGAAAGGGGAGGGACACAGAGGTCTGACCCGGGGCCAGGAGGGTTAATTTCTGTTTATTGGAATGCATGGGCCCCTCTTCATTCCCCCTCTCCCTCCTCCTCAACATCCCCACCTCAAGTCCTGCCTTGGTCAGGGGTACCTGCCTTTCAGCTGAATGAGAGGCAGCCCAGCAGGCGGACACCCAGCCAGGCATGGATACAAGGAGGTAGAAAGGGAAGAGAAAAAGGGAGAGGGGAGGGATGCTGGAAGGAACAGAAAAGACAGGAGCCACGGGCAGATTCCAGGAGCCTGTTTCTCACTTGCGCCCTCCCATTAAACGCCGCATCGTGTGGCGGGTGGGACCAGGGCAGCATGTGAACGTGGTGACCTGCTCAGCCTGTTCCAAACTGGAGGCCGATGGGGCTTCTGCAGCCCTTTTGCTCCCTGCAGGCAAATCCTGCCCGGTGGCCCCCAACTGCCTGGCCCTGAATCTGAGAACACACTTCGTAACATGCAGGCGAGAGGTTCTGAGGTGCCTCTTTCAGGGGGAAGGCAGGACAGTGGGGTTCTGGTTCCTGGGGGAGGGGTAAGAAGGCCTCCCCACCAGAGGGAAGGCCGTGTACAAACGGGGCTGAAGAAAGAAGGGAGGCCAAGGAGAAGAGTGACCCCCCACAGTGTCCCCAATCCTCCTGCAGCGCCACCCGCCAGCGCCAGCCCATCACCAGCCTTCCGCTGTCCCACAGTGACACCCAGGAGAGCTGCCAGCCAAAGGGGTGAGAGCGGGGCGCCCCTCGCCTGGGGCACTGATCCTCGGGCTGGGCCGTGGGGCAGAAGCTAAGGGAAGAATGGGGGTCCCCGACCCCTGACCCCACGGTGAGGTCCACACGTGTGGCCAGTGTCATGTATGCCTGACCCTGGGTGTGACCTCCTCGCTGGTGGAGCAAAAGCAGGTGTCTGAGTTTTATTAATGGAAAAAGTAAGGCTCGGACACGAGAAACCATCTGGCCCAGTGGCAGATCTGTACGTCTGCCTCAGTCCTTGAAATGCTATTCTTCCTTCGTGAACACCCTTGCTTCTATGTGTTAAAGGAGATCACAGAGAAATTACACCCAGGTTGGAACCGTGTTCTGGAAAGCCTACAGCATGCGTTCTCAAGGGGGCAAGAGCATCCCCAGGAGGGTGAAAACGGAGGGCAAACAACCCTCTTGGATATTACAACGGTCTGTGGCCCTCCAAAGCTCCAACTCTCATACCTTAGCATACCTTGGCATTTGGAAGAATTTTAAATTAGTTTACTTTTTCTCCTAGTGGAGGAAGGTGATAAGGAGAAAAAGGTTGAGAAATGCTGGCCTAGGCAGGGGCCACCCAGGCTGGATCCACCGATGCCCACCCAGCCCCCCGGGGATCAACCTCAGCTGAACGGGAAATGGGGCACAGGAGCGGGCTCTGCTCGGAGACCCATCAGGGAACCCTAGATGTCCCGACAAAGGCAACCCCAAGCTTTAGAGGTGCCAGCAGTCTTGGGGATTGAAGCAGTACCAGGTGGGCCAACTGTGGGAGATGCTGCCACGCTACGTGTTCTGCCAGGTCAGAGGAAAGAGCTTCCAGAACACAGAATGCCCTGGGGCCTCTTCCCACCCCCGCCCCAGACCTTAAGCCTTAAGAGAGATGGGGTAGTAGCTGGACTGGCCAGGTGGCCTGCTGGGGCAGGAATGGAGTGTGGGGCTAAGAGGATTCGGGGTCTTGAACATGGCCAGTGGAGCCTAGGTGCTCGGGGTGGAGGACCGAGGCGGAGGGAGGGACTTTGGGTTCCCAGCACTCCAGGGGCACCCCTCACACACCCCCTTTCCCCTCTCTCTGGCTCCAGAGGCTGGAAAAGAAGAAGGGGGGGGGGAGAGAGAGAGAGAGAGCCAGCCGCCCCCCCTCACACGCACCAGTGATGGTTCCTCGGGTCCCCACCCCAACCGAAGTGACCCTGGGCTGAATCCTCCAAGCAAGTGGTGCAGCTTCCGCCTGACCAGTCTCTGCCTCTGTGGGCAGCTTCGGTCTGGTGGGAAGAGCTTGGAATCAGACATACGTGGCTTCAAGCATGGTGTCGACACCGTGGCACCTGGAAAGTCAGGGTCCCGGGGATGGGCTCTACCTGTCTCCATCTTCTGTGCCCAACACCTCCTCTAGTACCTGTCACACACGGGTGCTTCGACCGTTTGTGACATCATTTACTCCTTCTTTTCCCAATACGAAAAGGGGCATTGCGGTCTCCCCTCGCTCAGAGGGGCTCTGTGAACGTTAACAGACGTGACGCTGATGACCTGCCAGGGCGGGTGTCTCTTCAATCACCAGGCAGGGCGGGCGGCTCTGCGGCATCCAGCTCGTCTGCCCTTTCTAGAAACTCAGTGCTTTTACTGGAAGCCGTCTCATTTCGTTTCTGCAGGCAGGTGAGGAGAGGAATCGGGGAGGGGAGGCGGTCACGGTCGCAGACTAGGTCGCACACCTTAAGGAAGACCGGAGGGCGGAGAGATGCCCCAGATGCTCCCCCACAAATACGTGCTGTCCTCTGCCTGGTCCCACAAGGCGCTGCGCAGCCGGGGAACACATTCCTAAGAGCAGGCCCTGCAGGAAGCATTTATTTGGGTCCCCTTCCTGGGGTTCTGGCCCAAAGAAGGGGGCACCCCGGCTGCTCCCCCCAGGAGACACTACCAAGAGCCCCAACTCGCCCCCCTGGGCCCAAATCAGCAG